GGAAAAAGAACTGGACAATACTAAACTACAATGGGATATGATCTTCACAACGTTACATAAATGTACAATTGATACAAAACTTAAAAATTTTCAGTTTCGATTTATTCATCGTATTATTTATACGAATTCCTTTCTACATAAGATATATATTGTTGAATCACCAAATTGTGAATTTTGCTTAGAACAACAAACTTTATTACACATGTTTTTTGAATGCAAAGTAATTAATGTGCTGTGGAAACAAGTACAAATATTTATAAAACAAAGGTTTGAAAGAAATTTAACTTTAAATAAAGAAAGCATATGTTTTGGAATTGACAACCATAAAAATAATCATGCAATTAATAAACTAATAGTTATTACAAAACTATACATTTATAACTGTAAAGTTAATGGACAAAAACCGCACATAAATCCCTTAAAATCAGTTTATGAGAAGCATAAACAAATTGAACAATACATTGCATTCAAAAATAGTTAGCATTGCAGAACAAGGTAGATAGTCCTATATACTGAAATTTTTTTTATATTATGCATTTTGTAGAATTATGAATCATCAATCATTTTGTTTCTTGAATAGCAATTTATGTATGGTAACTATCCATAGTTGCTTAATTTTTCTTTGGTTTTTTATAGTAATGTAACCTTGCTATGTAATTTGTTTTGTTTTATGAAATATACCAGAAATAATAAAATAAAAAAAAAAAATAAAAAATAAAAAAAAAATAAAAAAAATTAGTACAATGTTCATAGACGCCCTACCCATTTTAAAAGGTTTTTTGATTTGATAATTTTAAAAGAAACGTGTCTTGAACGTTACTATGTCAAAGACTGAGATACGTAGAAATAATTTATACATCTTTACTAGGCTAGCTGGTTTTTGAAGGCTTGGTCTAGACTAGGCAGTGATGAGCGAGCCTGGGCCTGACTTCAGCTATATTTATAGGACCTAAAGATACTGTACTGCAACTTAGTACAATGTTGATAGACGCCATACCCTTTTTTTAAAAGGTTTCTACAAGACGAATAGGTGAAAATATTACTCAAATTGTGAGTAAAATTACATTGTTACAACAACTAAACAAAGCACTGCCTGCAGGAGCGCTTCAAAGGATGCCAATATGCAGTGTCTTTGAAGGCTGGTCTTCATTAACTCACACGGGTGAAGGTTACAACCACTGATAGGAAAGCAAACAATTATGTGACATGTAAACTTTAATAACCCAAAAGTAGTTTCATCCAGTTATTTACCCCCCACCCACAAAAAAAACCCAAACATTTCTTATATAATGTTCACAATTATTTCTTCAAATTTACTAATTTTTTTTTGTTTTCATTGCTGGTGATTCAGTGAAGCAACGATCATAACCATCGCATGTCTGATTATTTATCAAAAATATATTTACTCGTTTATAGAATAAATAGGCAAATTATAATATTTGATTTGGTTTATTTACTGGTTGATTGATTGATTCAATTATAGGTTGGTTAATCGGTAAATCGATTAAGTGATATTTGCGGAAATATTTACAACCGTATTGTTAAACTAATGTTAAAATAATGTAATTCACTTTTATGCTAAACTTAATTACTTTTATTTTATTCAGAATTTAGAAATTTTAAATTGATGGTTTTTTTTAAAGATACTTTTTCATTTTTCAGGGGTGGTTGGATACATCTTTACCTTATTGTGATAACGATCACGATATCCTGTTTCAAATTTTGAAAACACCACTTGACTTAAATAGAGCAACTGCTAAAGTTTTATATTTTTTCATATTTCAAATCCTCATTCGATAACTATCAATAAGCTTGTAAGATTCTTCCATGGTGACGTGGTGTGAGAACAAGGTGCACACGTGAAGCTGAATGTATCGCAAGATCAAGTTTCTAAACACATTTGACAACATTTGACACCTGATCCGGCGACGCTGACCAGCAAGACTTCTCGTTGAAACCAACTTTTTGAACCACGCACCCTTATCAAATGTCTATAGTCTGAAAAGTTTTAATGTAGCAGGAATATAAAAAATGAATGAATGTACTTTCTATTTGTATTATAAAAGATTTACTATCAGTATGAGACAAACGGGTGGACCTAAGATTTTGAAATAGAGGAGGCCCAGGGAGTGACTTTTACAGATTGGGGGTGGGGGATAATCCAGATGAAGTCAGCCCCAGGTTTGAATTTTATGGCTATGTAAAAGTCTAAATGGCCAGTGTTCACACTCTCCCCGGACAGCTGAATTTCTTGTTTTGTTTTTTTTTAAATTAATAAAAAAAAAACATAGAGGGAATTAAAGTCGCTCCAGAGGTCTTCTTCTTCTTGCGTATGACAAACAGCATATTTTTCCCCCTTTTTTAGGGCTTGGTTTAAACTAGTGAGCGAGGAATCTGCCCTCAATGGACCTGGGCCTTACTTAACTATTGTAGGACCTAGATACTGTGGTACTGCAAATAGTACAATGTTGATAGACGCCCTACCATTTTTCATTCATTCATCATTAATTTTTCATTCATCTTTTATTTCGGAATTTCATGTCCATACAAAAGAACAACAGTTAACCAATACAAATACATATAAATATAAGACAAAAGTGAAAAATAGACTGCATCAACAAAAACATAAAGATCAAGAAATCATCTTAATGGACACAATGTTCCATTTATTATACATTTTAGAATTGGAAAGAGCATAATGCTTAATGGCGAATTAGAGCTGATTTTGACACGGTTCCTGAAACTATGTATAGAGTTTCTAAGATACTCGTCAAAGGACGGTACACCATTGGATACAAACATAAAACTCGCACTACAGTGCCTCGGTTGTCGCAGTAATAAACGAAGAGCATTATTATAGCAGACGTTTAACGATCTTATAGTACCTTTGTTATATTTACACCAAAAAGTAGAACAGTACATACTAACACGGTAGCATTTAAACAAATAACATTTAGTGGTCATAGAGCATTTACCAAATTTCATACTGAGAGAGTTAGCTCTTATTCATAGCGAACGGTATTGACGTTTAATATCACACTTATCGCTAAAGGGTATTGTTTATAACGTGACCAAGGTAGGTAATAGAGTTAACAAATAACAAAGGGGATGATTTAAGTGTAATACGAGGCTCGCCTTGCAACGCACCTTAGGACAGATTACCATACATTTTGATTTAGACTCATTAAACGTGATATTATAATCACTAGCAAATGTATCACAAATATCAATAAGACTTTGTAGTCCTGCTGCTGATGGAGCCATAAGTACCAAATCATCAGCATAGCTTAAACAATTGATTTTAGTACCATTTAATTCACATCCAACTTTAGCATTATCTAAAAGTACATTAAGCGGATCAGTGTATACATTATACAGTAATGGAGACATGACTCCCCCTTGACGCACTCCGTTCCTAACGGAGAAAGGATCAGATATGCAGCTACCCCACCTGACAACAAACTCCTGCGACCGATACCATGATCGAAGGACTCGAATAACAGGGGTGGGGGTACCTCGTTCAACCAGCGTCTTAAACAACGTCCAGTGGTTGACTTTATCGAACGCTTTGCTAGCGTCTAAGAAACAACAGTAAACGGGGCTACCGTTATTATTGTAGTATTCAATTATTTGTTTTAGCACAAATATGCATAGGTCAGTAGAGTGTCCCGATTTAAAGGCAAATTAATTGTCATTAGAACATAATGTATCACCACAGTTTTTAATCATAACTGACTCTAAAAGTTTCGATGCTACACACGCCAGTGCTATAGGCCTAGCTATAATTGCTCTTATCAGTAATGTTACCAGATTTCGACTTAATTATGGGAACAAGAGTGACTTTAGTAAGATTCTGAGGCACGAACCATGCATAAAAATTGAACTGAAACAAATGCTCAGAACACCACACAACATCAGAAGCAAACTTAAAGTATTCATTGAACAAACCATCAAATCACATTGCTTTGCCCAACGGAAGCTTATCAATATATTTCTTGAGAGTTTTTGGCGTTACTCTAATTTCATAGTTATTACTGACATTCTCATCATCCAGAACATCATTAACAAAAGACGTGTGGTCTGAGGAAGCAACACAATTAAATAGTTCGTTAAAGTGTATTCGCCAGAAATCACACATATCCTTATCACCTTCAACATTACCAATAATATTAGATTGGATATTAGCGTGGTCAGACTGCTTCACCTTAGCCCAGAACCCGCTATAATCATGTTCATAGTACGATTTAGCCATAGAATCGGCCATTATAGTTTATTCATTTAGTTTACATTGTTTAAGAGCAGTTTTAAATTGAGATCGGGTAGTTTTCAAAAATATGCCCGGTTCTAGGTTTACCACTCTCGCGCCAATTAAGAAACGCAACTCTTGCATTTTTATGAAAAGCAGATCCTCGTTCGTTCCACCCTGGAACAACTTTAACTTTAGTATTATTACTTTGTTTAAAACAGCAATTGGAACAATGTTTGAGACATTCAATAATCCTATCATAAAAGTTACTGATATCATTAAAATGCGATTCGTTTTTACATGAATGCTCGTTACAATATAAAGCATCGGGGAAGGAGAATCTACCAAGCAGTGTTTCCGTAAGACTATGGTACTGATTAATGTCGTTTCTGTAAAGGTTTTTCCAATTAATCTTTTTAGGATTCATATGATTCATAGGCCTATTATCATCATTTTGACTACTTGTACTAAGACTGTCAATTATGATTCCAGTATATTCAAAAGTGATCGGAAAATTTTTATTTTTCTATAGGTAGTTTTGTTAAAGATTCTACACTAAGAAAAGTCTAAATATTACTCATATTTTGAATAGAATTAGATTCTTACAGCAACTAATCAAAGCACAGCTTTAAAAGCCAGGATATACTATGTACTCGCATCTACATTTATTAAGTGGTGTTTTATATTGGCATATGTTTGCTTCGTTATTCACCGTTAATTTTCAACAAGTCGAGAGTTTATTTGGTATACAACTATTGGTGGCAGTATTCACACACCTGTGAAATTACTATCTACTGACTGCACAACAACACGCCACATCAATCCTATTACCTGAACTGAGAAGGGCCGGATAGGTCAAAAGGTTTTCAAGGTAATATCAACTTTATGTTATTTATTAAACCTAGCACCTTCTTTCATATTCCTTGCAGCGTCATGCGGCTGTACCGAACGTACAAATGTAATGTAGCTTTAAAAGCATTTGCACAAAATATTTATGGAACATAATATGCCAACATGTAGTGTCTTCGATGGTGGGTCTTCGCTTTATCGACTTCCATGAGTGAAGGGTACAACCACCGATAGGATAGCAAACAAATATGTTACATGAACACTTAAATAACCTAAAAGTAGTTCCACCCACCTATTTAATTTCCAAAAATTCATACCTTATATAAAATGATCACGGTTGTTTCTTTAAAGACCCATTCAATGTTCTTTGAATATCTTTCTGTCAGCATCCATATAGCTTCCGAGATGCTTACATCTTTTCCGAGCTTTATCTGCCTCTCTCTGCAGGTTTCGTTCTTTTTCTGTTTAACTCTGCTGTGAAGATTGGTAGTTTGAGGTCGATCTTGTAGACTAATTTCGGTTGATTCAATAGTATGTGTTTGTAATGGTCCTATCTTGGTAGTTTTTGTTATTTTGTTTTTTTGCCACCTTATTTCCATTCAAGTCGTCGCTCACATCACGAACTAACACAATTAAATTCAATTGTGTTAGTTCGTGAAACCAAAAAAGCGCGTCAAAATACGCGCTGTTGTCGTTAAGGACTTTTTGTGTGGTAAAGAATACAAAATTGCTTGACAACCAATACGCGCTCGTTTTAACGCGCTACTATGATTTCACGAACTAACACAATCTACTTTGATTGTGTTAGTTCGTGATGTGAGTAACGAAGTATTTGCCAATAAATTTTACTAATGGAAAGTCTATTTGATTTAAATACGAAGTTGACTATGGAAAAGGCTATGATGACTGTAACTAGACAAAGTGTAAGATGTCACACTAAAGCTAATGGAATCACAACATGCTCTGAAATTAACGTATTCTAAAATCATTTATTTGTCAATAGTTTTTTTATTTTTTTATTTTTTATTTTATGTGTTTAAACATACATTTTCGTAACAGTGGCACTCGTTGATTGACGGTGCGTTGAAAGACAACAATTTTTTTAAACTTAACAACTAAACTAATACCAAAAAAGATATCGAAGTGTAGAAATTGAAACATTACCGTATGCTTTTATATATATTGACACATCATGATATCATAAAAAAGACTACGAAGCATCCATCATAATGAGTTTCTTTGACTCTCAAAACATACATCTGTACACATCTTTGTTCTGCAATTGGCTGAGTACGGAAATATACATCAGTAATGACGGCACTAATTTGCATAAAATGATACATGAAACATCCAGACTACTTTTTTCACATAAAAACTATTTTATAATTATCTTGACTTCTACTCAATTGACTGGGAACCAGGGGCCGCTTATAGCCACGGATGGATAGGCAGAGCCTAAGTGGTGGTAAATGAGGCGAAACCTACTGAGAGGGATTTAAAGAATGTAAAACATCTACTCTGTGTTAATTATATTGTTTGCCCAGTCTACGAAGTTTTCAACTCGGGTATATACGCCATAAAATCCTGGTTTTGCACACCCATTTCCCCAAGACACTATACCATGCGCAAAGTAAGCGTTGTCGTAGTTACGCAACATGAATGGTCCACCACTGTCTCCTTGGCACGCGTCTCTGCCACCTGTAAAATTAGAAAAAAAAAATTCTATCTACGTCATGTCATCCAAAAACCATATGGATAAAAACTTATTATGGCTCCCATTACTATAAGTATAATGTATATGTTATATTACAACTAATAAAATGTATGACTTGCATGCATTCAAGTACAGAATGTATATGAATAGGAATGTGGTGCATACGTTGCAAATTACTACGACGTCACCTCACTAAAGAAGAGTCACTTCATGAAAACATTGTGTTTCTAACAAAATACTGTATTCATTTATGTAAATAGCTTAAAGCGTTAGTCAAACCTGATCTCACGCCAGCACAAAACATGTTCCTTGTGATGTCATACTTATTCGTGTCTGTTTCGATGGCGTCATATGCTACTGCGCACTTGCGTCTTGATACCAGTGGAACATAAATTTCACGTAGGAAGTCAGAGTGCAATTGGCCAGTTTTTATCCTACCCCATCCTATCACAACTCCACGGTTGTCGTCGCCATCGCCGTGGTCAGTGTTCGTTGCATTATCGTTGTTTGCCGTCGGTATTGGGTTTTGTTCAGGAAGGCAGAGCGGGCGAATCGTGTTCGAAAACTGGATAGACTTGTTGAGCTTCACCAGAGCGATGTCAGCATCAAATGGAACTCGGTCAAATTCGGGATGAATTATGATCTTCTGCGGTTTCACCTGTAATTATTATGTTTAAAGAAAGTAAATTTGCTGAATTCAATGTCGTCATTCAGTCGCACCAACTGCAGCAGCCTTACAAGCAGTAGGCCTGTGTACCAGTTGCAGTGAGCTGTAGTAGTTGCAGCATCAGCAGTAAAATAAGAAGTAGCAGCAGCAGCAATTAATCTCTAAATAGGCTCATTTACCTGAAATGTAGACTCACTATTGTCAGTGCGGCTATGGACACCAAACTTGACCGTCACAGTGCTGGCAGGTAGGATTCCCCTCCTAAGAGGTGACAAAGTGTCGTTAAAGCAATGAGCTGCGGTCATGACCCATTGCTCATTAACCAGGAACCCGCCGCAAATGTTATTTATAATACTATAACTTGGTGCATGGATATTAAACAAAACCTGCCAAGGCCACGAGCCAGGCGAAGATACACGACCGCCGGATATCTTGGACGTTACAATCGATGGGCGTGGATGTGGAAGTACGGATGATACACCACATATCTGTGTACACTCTGGTAATTCGGGTGACCATGTACCATTGGATAGGCACTGAAGACGGCTTTCTTTATTTTCTTGAAGTTTGTAGAAATTGTCACAGTCGTACGTCACAATATTTGTAAAAGTGAAATTGCTATCTGACGATGTCCAGCTACCATGGGCGATGGTCGGTGGCGTGCCACAGTCAAGTATTTTACACAACGCATCTTCTCCAGACCAGTTTCCATCGGCCTGACAGGCTCTGTTCTCCGACCCAAAGAGGATGTACCCAGGAGCACAACTGAACATAACAACAGACTTAAATGTTCTCTCGTGTCCCTGTATGAATCCGTAGGCTGGAGCATCAATATCGACGCATTGCTTACCTACATAAATAAACCAACACTAATTTACTAAAGCACGGTACTTTCGAAATAATACTTAAAAGTTGAATTTTAGAAGAATATCATGTTATTACAAAGCGAAGCACTAGTAATTTATAACACAGACACAATGTAATATGACGATGAAAAGTATAAAAGCAAAAATGGTGGCGAAGTCAAGTGTCAATCAGTAAAAAAAAACAAGGGAATGTTCGATGCTCTTAATTGTGAAATTGTTTAAAGCAGCAAAAAAAAAAGATAAATTCACAGAATAATCTCTTGAATTTTTTATAGCTTTTCATCGACTTCTAGAAAGGAGCAACGATGCACTGGTGAACCTCTCGTGGAATACGGAATCCTCAGTTCACTATGTACGGTATAATCAACCGTTAAAGGTCAACTTTAGGACATCTTCTGTAGGAAGGGAGGCCCTGTGCTACCTGTCCCACGGAGCTGGCGGACCCTAACGAACAGGCAATGTTGTCTAGCAGTAGGCCTAACCATATATTACCTGGGTGCGGACACGTAACTAATAGGGCCCAACCTCATGGCCGGGAGCCTCAACCACTTTACAATATATAAATGCATTAGTGTTCATAATGACACTACCTTGTGTTGTGTACTCAAGTGTGAATCCTCTACCAGAAAGCTGTCCATCAGAATGAAATGTTATTTTCACTATGTTACTCGCAGACGTGATGTTCGCTGGATTTCTAGACCCGCAGAATGGTCCTAGTTTTTGTTCATCACTCTCAATCTACACAAACAACAATTTCAATATAATATTTTCGTCATTTTTGGGGTGCTATTTTTTTTTTTTACAAAATATAGGAGGCAATTCAATTATTTTATTCGACTGGAGAATATCTCTGGTTGTAAATTACTGCATGGACGTAGGACGTCTGAATGCCAAAATCGGGACACAGTGCTTTTATTCAAGGGGAAAAATGTAGTTTAAGAATAGATGCTGGATGCAAGCAAAGTCACCGTCACCGAAAAACTTCGAAAGTCCAGCTAGTCTGGGACAAATTGTTGTTCTTAGATTTGCTTAATATTTCACTATTGGTTTGGACAACATACTGTAGAGTATTTTAGATTTTATTAGACTGTATTATAATCATTTGATTTTATTCGGTCCGATTTGGCAAAACAAGTACAATGTGATAGGCCTACGGAACAATTAGTAACCAGATCCCACCTAGGATAACACTAAAAAGCTAAAAGATGGCATATTGTTATTGGATCTGATTTAGACGTCAGAACGTGGAACGCCATCTGAAATAAAATAAGCCGTCTCGCGGTTTCAACGGCGCATTCATACTGTATGCCTTTGTAAAATGCCATACTGTTCGCGAACGTGCACGTTGTTCAATAAGCTGGATTGTCTTGTTTGTATGCATTGATGTTTGATAGTTAAAACTACGAGAGCACCTATTGTTTCACAGTTAAAACTACGAGAGCACCTATTATTATGAACAGTAAATATAAAACGTACTTTCAAGTAATCGTATGGACAACGCACGTCAGGATGTTCCTCGATGTCGAAATCTGTAAAAGCGATATTAATGACGTAGCCTTCTTCAACAACAACTGTCCAATCACAGTCCAAATTACTTGGGTGGATACCTGGGTAATCAGGTGTTGCTATGTCACCCGAAATTGTCGTCAATACGTTTTCACTACATTCACCTAAACAATAGTTTCATATACAAAATATGCATCAAGAATGACTCACTGATTTAAATTATAGGTATATTTGAAAATTGTTTAATATACTCCATTTCATACTTAAAATGGCGTTTAAAGTGCTCTAAACCTGCAAAAAGTACTCTCAAAATGAGTGATAGTCTGTGCTACAGTCTTAGATTGTGTTGCCCATCGAAAGCTGGAATAATATTTTAGTTAACGTTTTTTTTATTACCGATTTAAAGACACAAATTAATTAAGAATCATACATAACTTACTTGTACAGGCTAATTTATCACTATGCAATATGTATCCCCTTCGACAGGTGCAATAGTACCCTCCTATGTAGTTCTGACAGAAATGTTCACATTTGTCAATTGTTGTTGCGCACTCATCGATATCTTCTGCGTAGTAGTGCGCAGCAAAGCCATCATGCGGTCGTTCGTTGGAATAGTCAGAACGGAAATGAACCGTCAACTGCCTCCCCGTGGACCTAAGTAAAATGTCATGAGCGGCACTGTCTTTACCAAATTCGTCGTTGCCACAAAACGTAGAAATTAGTTCAGCCGCATTGAAAACCTAAATTCCCAGAAAATAAAATGTTTTAATCTTATATACTTTAAACAAAAATAATTTTAAATATTTTATATTAGGTCTATTAATCTTCAAGGTACGCAAATATTCAATCACCTGTGATCACATATTCCTACTGTATTCCATAAAGTGCGATCAATATTTCATATTTTCATTTTATAATTTAGTGTTTCCAAAGAGAACCATTACAAATTAGGAATGTAACAGACAGAGGAATCCCCTAGGCATGGAGCTGAAATCCCTCCTTGTTAGGCAGACGAACAAATAACCGGTAGGCCTATACGTTTTAAACTCTCAAAACAATTTAAAAGGTTAACAAATATCTATTATTTTCAGCACCAGCAGAAAGCTTAGCACGAAGGCCCCAACCAGGGCTTCGCACCTTTTGCACCTCTCACATCCACCGGAAATTACCAAATTCGTCGGATCCCCTCTCAGATAAAATAGTCCCCTCCCCTTCCCTACACTTTAGGAAAATCCTGGAGTCCTCACTTGGTGCAGATATGCATACGTTGGATGGTGCAACCTGACGTACGTAAAACTCTACGAACCTTAACAGTTTTATAAACAAAAGTCAAATAGTCATGAACATATGAACTATGGTTGTGTATGAACCAACCTTTACTCGACCTGAATTTAGAATGTTCGTACCTTCACGTAATCGTACTCGCAGTTTTCCGAGTATTCTAGGTTAAACACTCTGAAGTAAATTGCGATTGTGAATCCAGTTGGCACTGTGATTTTCCATGCTGTATTCAAATCATTAATGTAGGGTTCTGGGAAACCAGGAGAATTAATTTCACCAAACAAAGCACCAGATCTTTCAATGACTTCAGTGTTCACTGATAGGATTGTTGTCAAAAGTAATAATACTAACATCTTTCTGTGAAAAACAAACACCCAATTTACATTAGAAATGTGTTTCATTAGAAAATTAGAAGTCCGTACTTGTATCCTTAATGATATAATTTAGATTATCCACCCAAAATGCAGTAACAGTAATACATAATGGTAATTTTTTTTAAAGAAGCAGCGAGGTCTCTATTGCTTATGCTCAGGAGGAGCAAACTTCTTTCAACTTCCGACATAAGTGTGGCTGTAGGCATAATCTATTCTACATTTTTTGTAGGCCTATCTAAAGTAATGTTGTAAATATACAGACGATACAAACTCACTCGTATGATTTTTTACCCTCTTCCTCGTCGTAAATCTTTCTTGACCTAAATGAGAAAACAAGAACCTTACGGATTTTCACCTTTGGTACTCCAACCTTAATAGGGCAAGCATCCGATTGTCTTTCCTGTTCGTTTGAATTACATATACAATAACTTCTTGACTACTTGGTTAGGGATTCAAATTATAATTTAACGACGCCGTGTTTTGTGCACTCACCTTTGATCTCAGATCATTGTAGGAAGTAAATAACTGACCTCTGAGAAAATATCAGTGGTGTGGGGAAGTGTTGAATTAGGGTCATTATTAATAAATAATAATAATAATAATAATAATAATAATAATAATAATAAAGATTTATAAAGCGTACATCTCCACCAAATGTGCTCAAGGCGCATGAAATATATGAAATATTGAAATAATAACAAACTGTTACAATACTGTAAGACCAATATAAACAATTAATGAATAATAATTAGTGTTGATGTTATTGCTATAAATATAATAATAGCATTATACTATAGTATGGTTATCGTTGATCATCATCATCACAACTATTATTAGGTTATTATTAAGCTATTATTACGCTATTATTAAGCTATTATTGTTATTATTTATTCAAACAATTCTAGCTGATAGTAGACCGATAGGCTTATTGCACGCGCTATTTCAATGTGAGTGATAACGACTATACAACAATATTCAGTGTTCGTGCATATTGGCATCAACCTTATTTTTATTGTTTCCATGTGTCACGTCATCCGATAGCATTATCATTGTTTTTAATAGTAGGCCTACCACTGTTTCACTGCCCTTGTTTGATTGCAGAATGTCTTCCTTCCTTGTGATTATCAGTCACATTTCTTTGCCTAATTTTACGCATGGCTTCCTTGTGGCTTCAATCATCGTGACACTACCAGTATTAGCTCGTCAGAAAAAAAAAAGCCAGTGACTATTGTTACACTAGTCTTGGAAATGGTTTAATACTGTGCAACAATAGCCACTGCCGAAGAAAACTTACTCGTCACGACAAAATTGCAAAAATCAAATTAACATGACAATCCATTTGTAATAGGCAAAGGATGTATGGCGCTTTTTCTTGCGACTACATTACGACTGAATTACAATCAATCAATGGTAATAAAGAAATAAACATTACAATTACAAGTAGGAAGGCAAAAACGTGAGTAAATTTATTTGAAATGAACAAAAAAGTTTCGAGCTTCGTTCTTTTTCAGCTCTTCTCTCATTTCAGTGTCAGCTGACATTTTGACATATTAGTAACTGCAAGCTACTCCAGTTATTCGTGCACATCGATACATTGGTGTTGTTTTAACTGAATAAAGTCGGAAAATTGCAAGAAAAATGCAACTGGAGTTTATGATGAGAATCATGGTCTACAGTGTTTCAGTGTTTATCTATCGTGTAAACTCATGTGAGTAAACATTTTGTTGAAAGCTATAGTTATTTATACTTTTAAAAGAAATTAGCTTACGCTGTCAATTTTATTCTGTACTCGGACAGATCCTGGGGGAGGGCGTCGGTGGTGGTCAATAGGGTGTGTGTAGACCTGGCGCTTAGCGGATCTAAGGAATCACGCTATTTAAGGCGCATCAAAAACATAAACTACCTCAGTGTTTTTTTTTTTTTTATTTCACTCGTACAAGGCTGGCAGCCCGTCAAAATTGCAAGCTGGGTTGATTTATGAGAGCTGTGGCTCGATTGTCCATGATGATTAAATTGCTGTATTAAACTGTGCATTCGATCACTTTTAAACATTCAATTTTGTAATATAATTCGTTGATATTACAGTGGTGTTTCTGACATTCTGACAACTGCTGAGCTACTGTAATAAAATGTGCAGTAATATTTTCTGGTATAAATAAGCCTTTCAAAATATTGTAAAATAACTTTAATTTGCAAAGGTAACCTGTTTGTGTAGGCATATAACATGCCTTGATCCTTCAAACATGAATGCGCACTTGTAACTACGTAATGCTTATTAAACGTTCCATCAGGCTTCGTGTTGCTATTATATTGTTTCTTTAGATACTTGTCAAGACCAGTGGTATCTGTTTGGTGACAGTTGCTATAAAAACTTTAATAAGACCGTTAATTGGAACGATGCACTTCAAAGTTGCAGGGATAATAATGCAAGTCTGGTAACGATATCATCAGAACCAGAACATGATTTTGTTAGAGAGCTTTGTAATGCATCCTCTTTTACGTGGATTGGATACAACGATATTGAAGATGAAAACGTATGGCGGTGGACGATCGAAGCTGAAAATTCAACTTATACGGGTATATCTATCATACTTCAATGACTAGCTTGTTTCTTTTTTTTTTTATTAAACATATATAATTTTTCAATTAAAAAATGAACAATTAACCACCAGAAGGACCCCACTGAAAATAAATTTTAGAGCTTTATGAGGATATTTCACACATAAAGAAATATAATTCAATCCATATATTTTAACATGATGTGATTATAAAGCAAGTGGGGGAAAACAGAAACAGCAAGCGGAATAATGTAATAGATAAAAATGTATATTCTGATCATAAATCGTTTAGCAAGGGGATTGCGTGATCACACACACATTACTTCTACATTAATCATGTTTCTACAGACGCCAATTGAATTTCCGGAATAATATTTGTTGATCTATAATTTTAGCCTGGAAAAATGGGCAACCAAACAACTACCACAATGTTGCTTATGGTAGTCAGAATGCAGATTGCGCCGTTTCCAGATGTGGTGTGGAATCCACATGGTCGGATTACATCTGCGAGTTTGTTGATTCATCGACCACTTATACGTGTGAAAAAGGTAACACATGTCACACCCTCATAAATACACCCTACATACAGCCTTCCATCCACACACACGTTCACTACGGATTTGTGCCCCTTGAAGATCATAAGGAAATGGTATTGATAAGAAATAACTGATTGAAGGCTGTATATGAAAAACATTAATGGTATGAATACCATGCCTGCCCATCACAAGATTTTTTTTCAAATCTTCTCGGGCTTGTGCCTTCTTCCTTTTGAATTTTTCCTCATAAACCGATTTTTTGTATTTTTCTGTATGATTGCAATTGGAAGTTAATAAATGTTTTTTGAATTGAATTGAATACCTTGTATTTCTGGTCAGTTGCCCATATACATACACACACACACACACACACACACCACACATCT